AGCTGGTCAGATTGGTTTGGAAAATTATGAAGATCTGGGCAGGAAACATCCATTCACCGAAGAAAAAACATTTGTTTACAGAAGCTATGGCTCTATTTTTTATCCGGAATTCCAGTCATCCAAAATACCACTTGCAATTGGTTGCATAAATGATCCAAAAATACAACTGGAACTAGATATGCAACAGTTCAAAGAATTCATATAGATACTTGTGCCGTTTAGCTTCATTCTGCGTATATGAAGGTGAAGTTTTCGACGAATCAGATGAGCTAAGCCAATTTTCTCCAAATGCTTTCACCAGTGAATTTTACGTTTTTCATTACATAACTTCATTGAATATTCGCATCATTAAGAAAGCACAGCAGGGAACAAAGCTTGTTTTCGATAACTTCCTCCTCGGGATAATACAGTTATATATAGGGTTCAAAATCATCAAATTAGTGTAATGGTCAGATGTGATGGATATGATTGGTTGATTGTGATCTTCTGATGAGGACAGTGTTGCTGTTGATGTTATTGTTGTGTGGTTCGAAAATGTTCACAGTCGGTGGATAGAATGAGTTGTTCCATTTCAGGTCTGCATCCCTGGGTCATGACAAAGGTCATGGGGGTTTCGGCCGGCTAGGGTAAATGAAGTGACGAATCGTTTCCGAGAGCAAAGGGACGGATTGAGTGGGCGAATAGCTACCGTCTCGGCTGAAGCAAGGTTTTGTTGACTGGAGATTCTTTTCCTCCATCGACATGTGATGCCGTATAATGAAAAATTGACCACTGAATGGTTTAGGGCATTGTACATACGACTGGTGTGAACGATCACCTTTGCTGATCCCGATATAGTAATATTGTCAAACCCATCTTGGGTTGTGTTTCGAAAAACAACCAAGCAGTTTTTTCTGTTCTAGAAAAAAGACTGATCCATCACTCTGACTCGATTTTGGTGACCCCTACTTTCATTCACATGTTTTATTATTTGAAAATTCACTGGTCAACCATTATTAACCATCGTATTTAGACCCAGTAGATGTCAGTTTAGAGACGGCGAAATGGTTTGGAACAAGTTTTGGCACGTTTAGCTGGCAGCTACTAGCTAGCTCTGCCCCCTCATACTCCATCAAATGGATTGGTGATATTCGATCAACATTACAAGGGGTCATTCCAGTCAAAACTCGTTTGTTTTGGATGTCACCTTAAGTAACACGATTCTGTGCTACTGTGTATTCATCATCAGTTATGCGGCGTTCAACCTGTTGAACGAGTGAATACTGTCAATATGGAAACAAGCATATGAGTTTCCTCGCAATTCGGAAGCAATACAAGTGGTTAAGACGCAACATATCACCAAGTTTCTCCTTTCGGTATAGTAATAACGGTCGTAGATATTTTAGTATCCCCATGGCTTAGTGCTCGTTCACAGAAGCGTTCTCAGGAAGCGCATATTATAAAATATCCACTGATGAAGTCCTACTCAGTACAAATTCATGGCTACGGTGGTTTACCTCGTGCGCCAATGAAAAGCCTAAACCCGACTCTTTAATAAGTTAAAAGGCCCTATGAAGCTAGGTCACATTGGAAAGGTAAAAACTGATTCAAATACAGTCAGATCGTAACGGTATTCTGTTGAATTGGAGGACAGGGAGTACTGGACATCCGGAAAGTTTGAGCCACACCAGGAGGGCGTATCATTCAGCACTCATCCCTTGTGGAATGCGGTTTTCACACACCGCCTCGTTGCTTTATGGGCCAATTTTTAGTTGGCGGAAGCTGTCGGTTGTGATTTTGTAATATAATGATTTGAGCAACCTAAATATATTGGGCCTAGGAACAGAGTCGATCAGTGTTGTGTTCGAAAAGGCTGTTTATCAATGATTTTCTTGGTATACATACATGATAGTCACTGTGTCTGTTTCATCCCGTCCTCGCAATCGTGTAAATGAGTGTTTATCTTTGTAGGCATCGTACATAAATACCTATAAACCCGTAAGTAGGATTACACACACAGGAGGCGTATTCCACCTGAAGAATGTGCTCATGTGTATGTAATTCAAAGAACATGGATAATAACGAGATCTTCATTAGTAATCTGCTGAAAAATGTATATGTTGACTAAATGTCAATGGACGGATGTGAAACGTCAGGTGGGACGAGAGAGAGGAATAGCAAAATGGGGGAAACCAAGATGATGTTGAGTACGTGAGATATAAAGTGAGTGAATGAGTGAGTACAGCGAGGGCGTCTGCTCGCTGTTCTGTGACTGGGAAGATAGACAGTTAAACCGCGTTGGTACGGGTAATATGCAAACACAAACGCGAGCGCATTCGAAACCTCAGTGAGAAGTAACACTTGGAAGCGCACATTTGGAGGACGAATTTCCTTCATTCATTCATAAACAAGGGATCCATAGAATCTATCAGAATCAGAAAGAGATAAACGAAAAAGGAGGAAAATGAGAAAACGGGTTCAAATATTCGGTCGAAAGGAATAGGGAGAGCATAGACCGTGAGAGAGAGAGGCAGAACCAAACATTTATGAATAGGGTAAAACAGCGAACAGGAGTTCATTGTAAACAACAATTTTGGCGCTATGAAAGCGTAAAGTTGTTAGAAAACACAAAAACATGTATGTGTATACAGATATATAGCTTGAAGCCGGGGCAAATGATGAGCACAGCGGGAGAATAGATAGAGATCCACAGGATGCCTGCCTGGGTAGAAAGGCAATGTATGTATGTATGGATATTCAGGGTGCATGTGGATATCTTCCAATGTAATGCTCATATATATCCATATATATACATAGATATATATATAAAGGAATGACCTCTGCACTACTGATATATGACGGAAGCATATTTGACCAGAAGATAAATGTGTGAACAGAAGGGTGATATCTTTCTTTGTATAGAGGGAGCAGAGAGTGATATATTTTCAATTGATACAAATATTCGCCCGGAAAAACACGCCAGCCGGACGAGAATAACAAAAGATTTCACGATTCGCATGCGAGTATTGTTTGCTTTACTTCAAAACTACGTACCGTACACGGAAGAGGGAGAGATGGTATGTATTTATGCAAGTACGTATGAACATCATTATTATTACCATCATCATCATCATCACAGTAATTGAGCGTTTATCCTTTTCGTTTCGCTCTCTCTCTCACGTTGATCCCCGTCCGGGCGACAATTGAGGTGTGTGTGTGTGTATGTGTGTGGGCAAATCAAGACCAAATCTTTGTTCAAAAGAGAGGATGAGAAAAATAAACGATTCATGGTCTCAGTGTGTTTGAGCAGTGATATATTGATAGATAGATATACGCATGTAACTTTCCGAGGTGTGGTTGTATATGTATTTGTATATTTCCAACAGCATTAATGTGTGTACGAGGATGTGTGAGGGAAAAGGATTCTCGTGTGAACAAGTACGATTATGTAAAATGCACCTGATTCGCTTGTGCACAATAGTGCTACCATCCCTGGGTGCACAAGTAAACCAGAGGACGAGAAACAGTGATGCTTAAATAAGCGAAGATTTCACTGTTAATCACAATAACAACAACATAAACAGCAACAGGAAACAAACAAAATCAAGAAAAAAATGAACGAACGAGCGATGGCCATGTTCAAATGGCAAAGCATACATCAGTGAATTGTGAGGCCTGTGTGTATGTGCGATTTGAAACGATTCAAACATTCGTCGAAAATTCGGCTCATGAGGGGAATCGGCCCAGGTAGAATATTATCGACCGCGGCAACGGCGGATCAAAAACTGTTTGGATCAGATTAGAGCACCAACGTGGTGACAGAGAATGAGAACGAGTGGAACATCGATCCTTATGCCCTATTGTCGAACACTACTCATGAGTGAGAAGATGAGCGTAAAGAGAGCGAGAGAGAGATAAAAAACCAAGACGTTGTCATGTGAGCAATGATGGAAATTGTGCATTTCACATTGGTTTCACACCGTTAAAAATAAGGAAACAAAGACTGCAAGAGAACTGCAATCGCAGAAAGAACATCTGAAGGGGAAAATAGGGTTGAGTAAGAGAGAGAGAGGGGGTCGGGAAGAAATAAAAAGCAANGGGGTCGGGAAGAAATAAAAAGCAAACTGTTATTTCTCCCCGCCATATTCATCTGTATTTAGCGCGGTTAAATTTATCTTCTTCTTAGTGTGAATGTGTGTTTTGTTTGGTCCCGTTCGGAACACAGAGAATGATGATCGGTTTCAAACCAGTCTTCTGCCTAAATGCAATCCGGTTTGCAAATGAAGAAAACAAATGGTCAATAAAACTGCACACATAGGACTCAAGTGCGCATCTGTTCTGAACGGAACGTGATTGAGTGGTACAGCCCTTTGCGGTCCGGTTGGGGTACATACCAAAGGGAGGGAGAGAATGACCGAGGAGCGGGAAACCGGGCCGGGTTTATTTCACCACAAAAACAGCAATATCCGACATTTTGTAAAGTATTGAGCGCTTACTTTTATTCACGGTTACTTTCGAAACTCTGCACGCTTGTGTGTGTTCAAAAATTGGTTCTATACATTTTGTCACAGGTTTTATAGCTCTCCATGGGACAAAGAGGGATGAGAAATTGTTTGCGACGGTATGTGTAAAGAAAGATGGAGAGTAGCGGCGTGCGAGTTTCCGCTACTCCCTCTTGAGCAGAACTCTGGGAAGGCAAATGTCAATCGTATCGAAAGTAAGACGGACAAACTAAAATAAAGAATGTCATTGTGGAAACAGTTTATGAGTTTGGATCAGCTGCTAAACAATTCACTCATCACAATTTATCCCGTCTCGGTTTGTACTCATCGCGGATGTTGCGGATGCCTCACGGGGACGAGCACGATTCACAACCGGATCAGAAGTGATTTGCCAACCGGATGCACGAAGCCAAATGTTGCACGAAGAACAGGATAGTAGAAAATAGTTGACAGGACTAGGAGTGCCGATCCGACTGATGAATGTATTGACCCGTTCCAATCTGAATCTACCGCGACAAGCTACGAAGGCGATTTGGCTGAGGTGAGCAATATGCGTTCAAGTGCACGCATGTCCTCATCAGCTAGTTTCTTGGTAATTGTTCTACGAACTGTAAACCAAAGGAATATGGATGAAAGTATATTAGATTGAGGGAATCAATGATGAGAAGTGACCGATTTCGCGCAAATGTGTTTCAAACCACCAAACGTAGACGGCATGCAATAAATGACCATGTTTGTCTCTCTGTCTGAAGGTCATTTTCCTATCTGTTTGTTTATCTTACACTTATTCAATGCGAGACCCTCATTCCTTAAGCATGCAACACATTGAAAATCAGTGACATCGAGTAAGTTCATCCACAATTATTGACGATCAGTGTTATCTTTTTCGTGCGTGGCTTGTGTCATTGGTGGTGACGGTAGCAGTGGTGAATTGGTTCTAATAGAAACTGATAAAGCAAGTGAAGAAAATGAAGCAGACATGAAAACATACAGAATGGCTTGTGTTCACTATGCCTCTTCAAAACGACATGAAAATTGGACAAGCATGGGTGCCGTTGATGAGTTAGATACATATGATGACGATGCTAAGTTGTTAGTTATTGTTTAACATCTCTACTTCCTTATCTCGACCATCCGGTTAACAGAAATGAAATGAAACAAACAAAGGAACAAATGAGCATGTCGACAATGTTGTCATACGAAGTTTCAGTCAGGCAAACAGTCGATCAGGTCCACACAGTAGTCATAGTACAAGCCAACAATGAGGGATGCAAAAGCATTCGAGCACTTCGGAACACATACTGGAAAGCTGAAAAAAATTGGACACGAATTTGCATCAAAGTTTTCCTGTCTTCGAAATTTCATACTCGTCCAGATATTTCACAATAAAATCGTACTTTAACGAGTTTAGAGATCAATAATAATTTCTCCAGATCGAGAAAATCGGCGAAACACTCTCCCTCTATCTGACAAAACAGAATCGCAAGTTTTCAAAAGAGAAAAATCGCCAAGAAGTATAGTTTCGACCAAAATAAATCAACCGTTACCAGGTACAGTACAGTTTGAGTAGTATCACCCCATGCGTGTTAAAACTGTTGCAAATTTCTAGATAGTCTGACTTTTCGTCAGTAAACCGATTTATTGTTTGGGTAAGCTTATGAACACCCCACTGTTTACTACCATCAGAAGATAGGTTCCATACAATGGGGCGGAAATTACAGTCCGTATAACCAATGATTAAGCACCAGCTTTAGATAAGGTCAGTGGTGGTGGTCGTGATGATGATAATGGGTCAGCGATATCAACCTAACATCAGATCACCCAGAGATCACGTGTGCAAATACGGTTAGGGTCACTGCCTAATTCTGGCACTCTTTGGTACTTAGTGGAACCACCCATCTGTATGCTTTCTCTTTCAAGAAAATTGGTTTTATTGTTGTCTGTTTAATAAAAAGTAAAGTAAGGTTATTACCATGACCAAAATGCAAATGCATCGGTATAACATATTCGTCTTCATCGATTTGTTAACACACTGCAATGCGTCCGCTGATACAAGCAAAACTTTAGAAGGAACTGATATAATCTTGGTAAATGTAAACGTGAAAGTTTTATTCAGCCTGGGATGGATACGATGATTCGTATAAGCCATTGTATATATGTTGTTGGCATAATCTGCTCCCAGTGTGTGCCATATTTCAGCTCTCTACATTGTACTCGACTGAAGGAAAAAGTTTTAAAAAAAACAGTTCATCAGCCAGTTAAGATAAAAATGGAAGCATTACAGTTCATTCATTGATTCCGAAATACGTAAATGGTCGGATTATAAAAGGGACAAATCAGTATTTCAATTTTATTGGTAGCTTGAATCAAGCTCTGGTGTGTTAAAACACAAGCACAACCAGTATATCTTTTTCTCTGTTCTATGCATCCGCGTGTGCTTCTATGCACAGAATAAAACACAGCTAGGTTTGATATGTTCTGGGGGAAGTCAGTTCTGTGTCCCGTAATTTATGACTAGATCGGCTTCCATAACCACCAGGCAATAAGCAGAACTAGAAGACCAATTCTAAATGTTTCGGTGGTGTGTAAGGTAATTGATTACGTTGAGAACGTACCAGAATGTCGCGCGCGGTCAGCCGGACGTCTTCGTTCCCGTGGTGGTCCACGTCTGGCAGACTGACCTGATAGGGCACCTGATAAGGAATCGGTTGATGTGGCTTTCAGGCAAGCGTCAAGAAGAATATCCTGCTCCTGATACAATGCCTCCATTGAGGCGTCTAGGGAATCGTTCACCACACTGGGACTTCTCCCACGAGCAGCCTGACGGCGAGCTAGTTACAAATTCGAGATTGAATTGAGGAACCAGGTGTGAAACAGACCGATGGTCGGATTGAAAAGGAGCAAATGAATCATGTTATGACGGATGAATTTTGGAGAATGGGGAAACACAAATGCGATTAAACGACAAAGTAAAAATGATTCGTGAAAGAAAAGAAAACAGGTGATGACCAACTGAGACATAATCCCGTGCATAATTTTTATGAAATCCCATAGAAGCCGTGGGGTTTTCTCGTTCAGGGATATACAAGTACACACAATCACAGACAACACGAATAGCTGAGCAAAGGGGATACTTCGGGAAAGAATTATTTTCACTCAGTAACAATGAATTATGAAGGCCCGAGAAAATGTCATTGCACACACAATGATAATGCTCGCAAAAATGCTCTAAGACATTTCACAGCTAGACCATACTACCTAACCAACCAAATGATTCTATTTGAGTGGACACTTTGTGAATGCGTGTGACTGAAGTGCCTAATATAATGAACATTATTCAGTTTTGATGTATTGTTTGTGTGACTGAACTAATCAAAACCGGTTTGGTGGCTCCGATTTAAGGCAATCACAAATACCTGTTCGCGTCGTTCGATTTAATTGTCGCGACGCAGAACTGCGTTTTGTTTGTGTAACGTAAACAGCATAGAGAAAATTAACAAACTTTGAGTGTTCCCCTGGGTGAAATTGGTCTAGAACCTGTACGTGTCACCTTGGATCTAGTTTAAACAAATCAGATGCACTTAGAGGATAATTTTCCCCTCAGATTGTTCGCAGATCTGACTTCCGTTGGGGATTCTGAGCTCCGCGGCTGGGGCCCCAAAAATTCAGATTGTCTTTGGTTGGAGACACTGCAGGATATGGCATCAAACCGGAGTCAGTGGCGTGAATGCATCTTTTCCCGTGTGTGATCCCAGATACAAACAAAAACAACAAATAATTTCGAAATAGCGTGCAGTAAACAAATAAAAAGTTACCATTCCTCAAGTTTATTGTTTTTGGTTTTTCCCCGTCTAGTTCCTATATTTTGCGTTAATTCCATGATTATTTTGGTACCGTATTTGTAACGACTGATGTTATATATATATATATATATATATATATATATATATACTGCTCACGTCCTATCAACCATTCACCTACCGGGTGTGTTTGGTCGTCTTCGACTAAATGTGCCGATCACAGAAGAGGCATCCGAGTCAGTTTCATTGCTTGGACGTAGGAGTAGATCACGTAAATCTTCGTCATCTTTCAATTGTGGTGTTCTATTCGGATTTCCGCGTAATCCAGGGATCTAAAAGACAAATCGGATGCATGCGTGAAACAAGTTCCCGAAGAGATGCTTTTCTAGGTTGAATATCATTTACACACAAACAAATGCAAGCACACCGTGGATTGATTTAGTACATGAATGAGAAGGTAAAGCGACCATACACGCCAATTCTTCCTACTATATCAATCGAGATGGTTAGATGGAATGTGAAGTGAGAATGGTTAAACGGCTCAATCGTTTGCGTGAGTCGAGAGAGAGAAAACGTTTATTTCCCGAAACAATATATACACCATAAAACAGATAAAAGGAAAATAGTAAAATTTTGAATGGATACAGAAAGAAACTATTGCAAACTGCCAAATTCTGCTTGAATAATTACTTTCAATTTTACCAACGGGATTCCCCTCAAAAGCCAAAGCTCCTCAAAGGCTTTGCAGTGGTATGTGACAAGTTGATACTACACCAGAAACCGTTTTCTAAATATTGTACCCCTCATTACTCAACTAAATCGTCTGAGGTTATCAGGCCGTAAAATTCCATCCCATAGTAGCTGAAAGGATGTCGGCTTGTGGATCAATACTACTAAGGTTTTGAATCTCTTGGTTTGTAAATAAAGGAAAAACCCAAATGAAGATGATATGGCATCCTTTACAACAAAAAGAAGGAGTTAAATGTACTCTCTAACCTATTCAAAGATATTTAGCATCAGTAGGAAATTTCAAGAATACTTAACAAGTTTCAACTTAATCTTCTTGGCAGATTATCAGGGATCAATGGTTTGTTGTCGAATCGTTATCGCGTATTCCATTCGCTACGTTTCATTTCGGATTCTACCCAATGTAGCGTAATTTAAAAATGAGCAAATAATGACAGTGAAAATATCTTTTCGAACTGACAGAAAGCTGTTTCTTTCAATCATTTGCTAACAACGAGAATTAATTGGTAATACAGTTTGCTAGTCTGGTATCCCAAGTCAGACCGTTGAATTGAAGAAGAAAACAAGCGCACAGCTATTGAAGTGCGAAAAAATCCACACTTCATTCAGATTTAACATAGCCACAAATTCTGGTCACCATTGATGGTTGGGATAGCAGGGAGAAGCTAACACCAAAAGTAAGTAACAGATCGTAGCAATAAATCCTTCATTTAGCTCTATAAGACCAAATCGACGACCATGTACTATTCATAAAACCGAATCCTAACCATTGGTCTCCAACCCAAACTCTCTCCATTTGATCCCTAACGTACACACTGCGGTACAGAGAAAAACATGACTGAAGGTTTTGAAACTAAGTACGGACAAATTCAAGTAAATATCTTTTCAATATATAACTTTTTATATTATAACACATTTCGCAGTCAGGACAATCGACTAGTCTACCCGGGCACAGTCCCCAACATTAACTGTATGAATACATACACGATGGATAATAACGCTATGTTATGTCTGCATATTCCCTTGTGTACTGCATTGGCCTGGTGATCAGAAGTACTAAAAAACAGATCTGTCTTTGCCACTTTTAAACTTCCCTGACATGTATATATCCTACTGAAAAATAGTTAAAAACAACAAAACAAGTGAGGATGAACAACGCTCTTGAACCGACTACACCATGGAAAAATTCATAGATCAGAATAAACGGTTGTGTCGCATCCTGATCGCCGATTGTAAGCAGAAAACGAATACATACAAAACCTTTCGCATGGATGTAGTTAGTGAAAAGCTGGGTTAAAATAAGAAACGATAAAACGAATGCGTCCAATGATTGACATTGCTTAGAAATTAGTGTGAGTATATTTTCAATTTGTTACTGTCGCAAAAAAAACCCACGTTCATTCGGGGTGAGCTTACAGCTTCAGGACAACTTTCGGACAATTTCATTGCTTGAATCTTTTCGACCTGAACGAAACCCATATTGCGAACGATTAGCATGAGGAACGAGAAAGACAATTAGCGCATGAAGTTGACAATGTTCTCATAAACGTAACAAATCTTGATGACATGATCCTGTCCTTAAACAAGTAACGGAGAAGAAATGAACCAGGTTATTGTTACACACATTATCTTGTGTTGTGCTGTTTGATTGCCATCTGTGAATGAACCACATCGTTCTCATCCCTTGAAAACATCTATGCCATGGCTATACCTGGTGGGTTTTCTATTTCAACAACAGTCCTCCCTGCAAAGTGTCATGAAAGTTTAAATAGGACACTATGATCGAGAGAATTAGATAAGTAAAAAATGAAGGCCCTCACCCTTCGTCTGGTTGCAAATGTTAACCTCATGTGGTAAGCGAACTAGGTACGGATTACGGATCACAGTCGCAACTGAAGTAAAGAATATCACTAGCAATCGTAGACTGGAATCCCGCGTCACCGAGAGGCAGGAAAAGGTCACAGAAGCAGCGGTTAGTTTATTGAGGATTCTCAATGGGATTAACAATTTGTACAAAGAAACGTCATTGGTTAGACAGGTATTCGCCAACAGTTGGCTTGCACTCTTGACGTAGTACGGTTTCCGTCTGAAACGCACAATTTCTGATTGATTGGTTCTATTGGCCTGTGGTTCGTTGCCCAGAAAATGTATCGCGTCGCTCCTTGGTTGACATTATCTCGTAGGCTAGAATCACCACAACAAGGCTTTTCAGAGAAAGCGAGTGAGCTAAACTACTCGCTACCGGGTTGTCTGAACCAGCGCTGCCGACTTGCATGTTAAATATGGATGTGTAAAAGGCACACTAGTAACCTCGATTACAAAAGTCAGTCACCGTTTTTAATCAAATTCTCGAACACCTCTGCTGTGCAATGAAGTCAATTCATTCTCCAGAACGCGGTATTGTTCGGAGGGTAAAAGTAAGCGTTTAGAGCTCGTAAACTTCACTTATTTTGCTTTTTATCTTTACACCAATGTGCATAAAGCTGTGTTATTTTGCATCTGTTTTGAGTAGAGCATTTAAGCTCAGCCACAATCGGATATTGTTTCGCGAAAATACGGCGAAGAAGCGTTCAGTTCTCATGTGCAGTACTGTCCTTTGAAACCAACCCTTAATTAATCCATGCAGTATCATAAAGTTTATCATTAAAAAACTAGGAATAGGTTGTAGAGATCATGTTCAACTCACATCGATGATCATTTTTCCAGTTGTGCGTTTCCTCTCTCGTGCTTTGGCCTTCTTATCGCGACTCTCAATGATTTTCTCTCGCGTTGTTCGGTACTCCAGGGCGAATTCAGCCATTGTTCGGCAGAAACTACTGACTGTCATGGAAGATGCCTTGCCTGAGCTATACCCCAGATACTCCAACATGTGGCGAAATCTGCAATCGACATGCAAATATTGCATTACGGTTTGAGCTACTGTTACATTGGTAAGTAGTATAAACGAAAATGAACAAAATATGAAGCCCAAGTGTCATGTTGACCGGATGCACCAGCAAATGGTGTACAAGGATAGATATGTGCATAACTTTTATTTTTAGGTTGTGCTTACAGTACCTGGTATGAATACACTATTGAATATATACTGTAGACCATTTAAATAATGTATAGCTTTAACCATTTGTTTGATCTAAAAGTCATTAGATATTTAAGTTTCGCCTCTTAGTAGTAATGAAACTTTCCACATAACCAGCTGCGAAAATGCTCTTCCAGGTTAAATAAAATACACTTGTGGAGCAGTATCACTTTCAGAACAATATGTGAGCAACAACAGAAGCTAGATGAATACTAACCTTGCCATCACACGTCGATAAACCATTTGCAAACAGATGATACGTTCCATAGCATCCGTGAGGAATTCATAGAGTCTACAAAAGAACACCGATTGTGATTACTGGACTCGGTTTACTGGTCGCGGAAATATAAAATTTACTGTGGAATTAAAGAACTTATCCCATTAAACAATCCAAATTCTCAGTGGAGACAACGGTGGTTACAGGGGCTGAAATAACGGGTTGAAAGGTAACGAAAGTTCTGCAAATAAAATGCGATACTGAAGAAATTAGCTTGTCTTAGCCACGACGGATGAAAACCAAAACATAATGGCGTTAGTGACAACGTTTCAAACCTCTTGGAAGGCCTTCTTCAAGTCGTTTAATCGGTTAATCTCACGTCACAAGCAATGATAAGGCACCAAGAGGGTCGAAACGTTGTCACCAACGCCACTGTGTTTTGGTTTTCATGCGTCGTGGCTAAGGCAAGCTAATTTCCTCAATGATCATAAGCACGACGCCCAAGGTTTTCAGTGACATCCGTTTCATTCATGGATCTCGTGTGACTAAGATGCGGTACTGTTCCTGTTACATCATGGTAAGTGCTAGTTATTACTGATGTGTACTTATTCGGTGATTCGTGATGATAATTGATGAAGACTAAGGTTGTGCACGAAAGAACATGGTTAAAGTCTGTAAAAAAACAGAAACTGATTTGTGGTGAATTGAATAGTATTGCTATTATTGAACGATGAATACTGATATTAGGATTTGTGTACAGGAAGTTCCGTCATGTGAACTGAAATGTTAAGTCGCTTGTGACTGTGTTTCCGAGGAGAAGGGAATTCCCTTCAACTTATGCGTATTAAATTTCATCATGTAAAAAATAAATGAAGCATGAAATGAAAAGATGGGAAGCACAAGACAGTTTTTTCACCTCATTCAGTTTCATGAATCAGGTAGTCAGTTTCGGGATATTTCTAAACAAGTCATCACCCTGAAAACTAGTATGGAGATGAGAGAGGTGGGATGTCTGCAGCCAGATCGAATGGACAGATCGATTGTTGGTGATGAATATGACTACATTAGCCCCGTTTGATCGACCGTGAAACCTAAAAAGGTCCCAATAATATTAACCATTCAGTAAATACCTGAGCTACTCTTTTATGCTAATCACAGCTTGCTACGAATACTGAGTTATCATTCATTCCAAATATCCCAATCAAAGATTCTATCGCTAAATGGTTACTGACACATAAATATGTTGGATGTTTTCCCTATACTCTTAAATAATCTTGTCACGCAACAAATTGTTCTTAAAGCCAGAAGGTGAACTTTTAAAATCGTGCATGAAGGAAACCTGAGGGTGTTTTGAAAACAATTTAAAAATCCATTCATTCTTCCACTTTATATCAATGTTCCTTAACTATCAACCATGGGGCGACATCTGAGAATGTTATTTTTATGAGAGGCTCTTTAGAAATTAATTGCAGATACAGAAGTGTTTCGTGTGCTGTGTTGGTCGACTTCATCATCCATGAGCAACTTGCGACTGGTGAATGTCCGCATAGTTCGGTTTTCTCAAACACGCCGTGTCACCTGTATTCCATAATCACACCCTCTCAACAATTCTCTTCATTTTCTCGTTGATTGTTTTCCAGAAAACGAGTGCCGAATTGACTGAAAAAAGTTTATATAGTCGTAGTGCAAAATTTCGCTTTCATTGCCGCTATCTTCAGTGAGAGTGGAACTGTGTCAAGCTCCATTAATGCTTGTTTGTTAAGGATACACAGTTGGCATGCATTCGGCTTTTACAATCACTTACCGAGTCTCATCATAACGAAAGATTTTGAATGTTGACTACTATAGAGGCGATTAGTATCCGCCTTTCAAAGGCTAAACTGTGAGCGCAAAGAACTTGATTCAAAATACTCAAACGTCCTTAGTCTCAGGAGTAAAAAATCGCTCGTGTGCATAGAATCGACTTAACAAATCTCAATATGACTGCGTAACTCGAGCACTTTGGAGTGATTTCGGATTCATTGCAGCACACATGACTGTTCCTCTTTCTGATTAACCATAGTATGCTGTTTTATACAATGTTCAGAATGAGTTCGTTGAAAATATATGTTAACCCACATCGTGTACTCTTAATTAATACGGTATTGTTTATCCATGCAACTATTATCTACACCAAACATAAAATGATAGCCATTTTTTAAGAAAACCTTGGGTACCATTGACGAATAAAGTGCAGGAATGAATTCATTTAAACTATCAAAAATGTCATTCTCATGTAGTAATGGAACGACTGCAGGCGAATACGGATTTGACTTCACAAAAATACGATAGGCAGACTCATTCGTGAGTAAACACAACCAGTGTCGATAATACGACAAACTGAGGAAATGTTTTTTGATCTGACTTACTTGGCATTCTTTTGTCTCTCCTTTGCCGAGGAAAAGATTAATCGGTAGTGTTCCCATGCCTGTTTACTATCCCGTTCTAATTTTTTTAATTTTTCCGGCAGTTCTTCCCAATCGATCCGATGACAGCGACACAAGGCGCCCAAATCGGAATGTATATCTGTGAGTAATAAGAACGGAGGAGTCGAAAACCAAGAATAGAGTATGGTGAACAGGAAAGACACATACCAGTTTCGTAGTCTCGTGAATCCATATTTTTTAATATATCTGCCAATAATCATTTTTATTGCACCTCATAATGTAATGTACAGTCGAAGAGGAGCTAGGAGAACTGAAAAACTAAGATCTTGGATCAGTGAACCACATAAATGCCCACATGTGTACACATAGAACCATATTAGATAAAACTGGAGCATGCAAAGATATATCCCAGGATTGGGTTCGAGACGAAAGGGCATTGATGTGGTGTCTGAGGACAGATATAATAAAACAACGTCAGACTGACAATGAGATATGCATGTAGAGCTCAATACAAAAGAAAAGCCAGCAAAGGGAATGATGAGAGTTGCGTGAGACAAAGCTGGTTTGTACATGTGATGTAATACACTTCGCTCGAATCGATTTGATATGTGCACTGACTCTTAAAGTCAAGCCAAGAGTGCATCCATTGTGGACAGAATTTTGCATGACCATACATATCAATGAAATAGATTTAAAAGTAGGGCATTTATTTAACAGTAAATGATGATGAGCAGCGAAAATGCGTGGTATAAATAGAAAATTGCAACATGAAAATTTACATGAGATAGTCTAACACTTCGTTTGGTATTCGCTTCTTGGAAATCACCGAAAGAGAAAAATAGGATACAACTGAATTGTGAAAAGCTTTAGTGCGGGTGTATACAATTTTAAATTAATTGTAGATGGCAGAAGGCAACATGGAGCGAGAGAGTTTTGAGTCTAAAAGGCGTGATGTACTAGATAAGATTGAGTCACACAAACGATCAAACGCCTTAAGGTACTGGTTGCCAATCGAGTCGACCAGCGTTGAATAAGGGACAGCTCCATATCCAGAACTAGGTTTCAGAAAGCGTCTGATCAATATGAAATCCTTAGACAATAGACCGGATAAGATAACTGGGAAGCAGTAGGTCTAGGGGTATAAAACGTAAGAGAAAATAAATCCAGAAATGCCATACACCGGCCCCCTCAAATATCGAAGGCGTGAAATCCAAACCGTCACCTTTCTGACTATAAATGTTTGTTGTACGAGGTATCGTCATGTGAGCGACAGGCAGAAAAAATCCAGGGTATTTGAAGTGTTCCGACTTTCCAACGTTTAAATTGTTGACCAAAATGTTGGAAACAGATAATCCTATAAGTACGGATGGCCTACGATTAATGGAGAGTTCCAGTTGCAGTTTTTACAACCATTAACCATGCACATTTATGCAATGGTTTTGATTGCTGCCTCTTAGCTGTCCATTTGGAGTAAATAGCAGAGTAAACAATGGAACTTTGAGAGCACAGTCAAAGGACATGGAGAATTAATATGGATTAAAGTTGTTAAGATAACGAAGAGATGCACGACCGCCAATGTTTGCGTCACTCAACCATATAACTCAGTATTTCTAACCACCAGTGACTATGATCTCAGGGTCCCCATCCAATCAGCCTTCTGTGTGCATGCCGACACTTCATCTTTGACGCGTCCGCCAGGTGAGATATGGCTGATCAAAGAACTAAATATGTCTAATTCCTCTGTTAGAGTGAGGTTGGGGGATGGACCAACCCAATCTGGTAGCATCATTTTACACTCTCAAGGTGTAAAACGCATACCGAACATGGCTACGTTAGCACCCAAACTATCTAGAAAAGCTTGCAACTTACCTGAATCTTCACTTAGCAGCATAATATCGTCTTGATAATTCAGATCAAAGTTTTACCTCCTGGGAGCTAATCAATGGTGCTCTGGCGCGCGAGGATAGGGTTGCATCTATGACAAAGTTTATTAGAAGCGGAGAGAGAGGTCAACCATGATGAACACCACTTTCCGTAGTGAACTCGGGCGAAAACGTGCCGCCGGCTCGCACTGGTCTTCGACTATGAGGGATTGTAATATTGAAATCAACTTCTCGGGCATAGCCTTCAGGGAAGGCAGTGCAGGCGTTTAAGCAATCGAGTGAGCTAAAAGCCGGTTTCAGATCAAGGAAGATACAAATAGTGTGTCTACGAAAAGAATGTTGGTGCTCCAGAACTAGACGAAGGGTGAAAATGTGGTCTATAAGATCTCCAACAAACCTAAAACCAGTCCGATTCTCACGCGTGCACCGTTCACATGCGGCAGACAATCAATGAAGTGTAATATCAGCGAGTTCAGAAAAATGGAAAAAACTTCAATGCATTTGTTTGTGTTTAAAGAATGATTATGGGACCATTCATAAATTGAAGTTCTGGTTAATTGAAGGTGGCTGGATGAAGGGTTGTTTGTGGATGCAAGACCAAACACTACGTCGTCGGCATATTTATATTTGCGGGCAAGTGGTAAGTTTTGAATGCAAGAGAACAGAAAAGGAGATAAAATTTATCCCTGCTTTATGCCTTGACTTGCATCGACGATGAAAGACCTAATATTATTTCGACCAGTGAACTGGCGTCGGTCATGCGTCCAATTCAACAGATATGACGCGAGATTCTGCTGCTGAAACAGTGCCATTATAATGTTTCTATCAACAGGGTTAAAATAGTGTGTGGTCCAAAAGGCAAACATGAAGAAGTTTGTTTTTTTCTCGACAGTTTATAAAACAGAATGTGTAAGATAAACAACCACATCTACAGTAGAGTGAAGCTTACAATAAACAAACCAAAAGGAATCACAAAAATCAGGAGTCTTAAGTAGTACTGACAATGAAACAATAGGCCGAAACTTCCCCTTTTGTTTCTTAGCTACTGGAGTGATGCGGACATCACGCTTTGTCAAATAGTTTACCTTCTGCCAGACGTGTAGTAATTAATATATGAATCAAACATTTTCTTAGAGGTGCTTCACACGTGTTTTTTGGACCGGTGGGGACAACCCGTCAGGACCGGCTCTCTGGTGACAGTCGCAGGAGGATGGAGATCAAGCGACGAGAGACCGAGACCAAGATCTCGATAATCCTTGCACGATATTGTTCACCGTGGGAAAAGATCATTGGTGTCACATAAAAGTGTAGTCAGTCGAAGTGAACGACCGCAGAGCAACTTCTGTCCCTTCCATAGCTGACGGCAGGATTTGTCCCCTAGTACGGTGCTAACATATAATTGATTGAGATGGGCTATCTAGCTTCTGATATGAAAGTTGACAGGTTTGCCGGTCAGCTTATCTCTTGAGCGATAAACCTTCTCTTTTGTAACTTTTCAGTCGATCAGAGATGAAGTGGCTGGGTTGTAGATAAATTCTGACTTGAAAACTGCACACACCATAACAAAAGTTGCGATAATTGGTGAGGTTTTCACAGAAGACTGAAATATCTGGATCGGAAAGTAGTTGTAGGTCCATACAGACGACCATGGATTCTAATTCCACGAAATGGGGCTGATGATGCTGTCATATCTTGCTTATCTTACGTGCACTGTTCTTCGTGAGGACGCACTGATTGCATTCATTACAGTTTGAAGATGAAACCCGAATTAGACAGCGATCAGAATTGACCACTGGTGCACCTTTGCAGGCAAGAAAAAAGGACGGTTCATTAAGTGGTCCTAAGAGGTATCATTCCTAGTGCAAAAACTAGCAATGTTCTGAAGACACTTAAGGGTGTAAAAATAACATCTGAAACGTTGAAATCACCAGCAACGATGGAGATAAAGGTGACAGTCTTTTCTAACACTATCGGATAACTTGTATACAGGACGATCGATAACTCACCAGGATTACAGTCAGAAGTGAAGTAAATATTTGAAATGGTGATCGAAGAATGGCGCAGAAGAAAACGTGATTTACATTCCATAAGTATATAAAAAATGTTTTGTGTACCGTGAGTGAATATGTATTTCGCGGAGCTACACCACAACTGGCGCACATATGTGATGACACCTCCAATCTCTGTTTTCTCTCCTGGTGGTAGTCAATCTGCGCGAACCAAACACAATCTTTCAATCTCAACCGATTCGTTCTCAACTGATTTTTGTAGCCTTTATTCTTTCCTGCTTCTGTATTTCCCCAGGCAGATTTTGTATGGTTGTAGCCCCCTTCCTGGAAGTTGACTGTACATTTGCATACTCAATAAATTGAAAAAGAACCAAAAAGACACAAAAGTAACACGCAAATTTTAGATCACTCCCCGTTGTGAATCGGAATGCTTGTATTAAGATTAATAGTTAAACATGATGAACATGGGTTTTTTATCGTTTTTTCGTCACATGTTTGCTCACTTCTCTCAAACGTATCGGGCATTCTCTAGTGTACGGTGAAACAAAAATGTTTGTTACCCCAGTTATCTTCAATTTTCCCGTATTTAACTCTTCCACCATTTTTCCACTTTGCTCTGTACCCCAATCCACCTATCCTCTATTATAGTTATTGTTATTATCGTTGTGGCGTTGGCACCATGCTTGTTCACAACCAGGTGTAATATATATATATAT